GACATTGACCACAGCAAATTCTTTCAAGATACATTTCCAAAGTCGAGGGAAACAAAAGCAAAAATGAACTTTTGGGACTTCATCAAGATAAAAAGCTTCTGCACAGCAAAGGAAACAGTCAACAAAACAAAGAGGCAACCCACAGAATGGGAGAAGATATTTGCAAAGGACACTACAGATAAAGTGCTGGTATACAAGATCTATAAAGAACTTCTCAAACTCAACACCCAAAAAACAAATAATCAAGTCAAAAAGTGGGCAGAAGATATGAAAAGACACTTCTCTGAAGAAGACATACAAATGGCTAATAGACACATGAAAAAATGTTCATCATCGTTAGCCATCAGGGAAATTCAAATCAAAACCACATTGAGATACCACCTTACACCAGTTAGAATGGCAAAAATGGACAGGAAAAGAAACAACAAATGTTGGAGAGGTTGTGGAGAAAAGGGAACCCTCTTACACTGTTGGTGGGAATGCAAGTTGATACAGCCACTTTGGAAGAAGGTGTGGAGGTTCCTCAAATATTTAAAAATAGAGCTACCGTATGACCCAGACATTGCACTCCTGGGTATTTACCCCAAAGACACAGAGATAGTGAAAAGAAGGCCATATGCACCCCAATGTTCATAGCAGCAATGTCCACAATAGCCAAACTGTGGAAAGAGCCCAGATGCTCTTCAATAGATGAACGGATAAAGAAGATGTGGTCCATATATACAATGGAATATTACTCAGCCATCAGAAAGGATGATTACCCAACTTTTACAACAACATGGATGGGACTGGAGGAAATTATGCTAAGTGAAATAAGTCAAGCAGAGAAAGTCAATTATCATATGGTTTCACTTATTTGTGGAACATAAGGAATAGCATGGAGGACATTAGGAGAAGGAAGGGAAAAATGAAGGGAGGGAAATTGGAGGGAGAGAGGAACCATGAGAGACTATGGACTCTGAGAAACAAACAGGGTTCTAGAGGGGAGGGGGTGGGGGAAATGGGTTAGCCCGGTGATGGGTATTAAAGAGAGCACGTATTACAGGGAGCACTGGGTGTTATAGGAAAACAATGAATCATGGAACACTACATCAAAAACTAACGATGTATTGTATGGTGACTAACATAACATAATAAAATTTAAAAAAAAAGAAAAGAAAAAAAGTAGTATTTATTATTGGAAGCTAAATAAAGTAAGTTATGAAACAGTAACAATAGATACACAATGTTTGTCTTCCCTAATAGGGTGTAAGCATATTAATTATCAGAAAAAGAGATAAAATGTATTTTGTTCTAAATACAATCTTGAAATGGTTGGAACCTCCCTATAATGTAGAGCTTTGTGGTTGTTGTTGTTGTTGTTGTTTTACCCCAGCTATATTATTCTAAGTCCATTATATTATCCTAAAAGAATCTTGCACATTATTGGGAATGACTGGGAAGTGAGGGATATTCAGGTGGGGTAAGCAGAAAATATAAGTGAATCTTGGTATTTTATTCAACTGATCCTGATCTTTAATGTATCATGTTATATGCATTGTGTGCTATACTTATAAGACTTGGTTCTATCCTTCAAGTTGCTTGAAATGTCCTAAGGGAGATAAGGCATGTGAAACAATTAGAAAACAAGAGAGTTTATTAGTTTTCTATTGTTGCTTGACAAATTATCACAGATTTAGTGGCTTAAAACAACACCCATTTATTAGTTCATAGTTCTACAGGTTAGAAGTCCAGGCAGGCTCAACTGGATTCTCTTCTCATAGTGTCAAAATCAAGATACTGGCCACATTGGGTTCTTATATGGACGCTTTAGGGAGAATCTACGTCAAAACTCATTCAGGTTGTTAAAATTTTCATTTTTTAGCAGTTTTAACACTGAATTCTCAGTTTATTTGCTGGTTGTCAGTGGGAGCCCACTTTCAGCTTCTAGAGGTGAGCTATATTCCTTGGTATATGGATCCTTCCATCTCAAGCAAGCAATGGTGCATTATATCCTATCCACACTTCCAATTTCTCTGACTTCTACCACTAGAGGAAATTTTCCATATGGTATATTATTTTTCCATCTTTGTACATTCGTCCTATTTGTGGCTTTGGGTCTAGAGTGTGTCTCTGGTAGACAGCATGTATTTAGATCATGCTTGTCACCCATTCTGCTGATTGCTGTTTTATTTTATTTTATTTTTTATTATGTTATGTTAGTCACCATACAGTACATGATTAGTTTTGGGAAATTTTTTGTTGTTTTTTAAATTTTATTTTATTTTATTATGTTATGTTAGTCACCAGACAGTACATCATTTGTTTTTGATGTAGTGTTCCATGATTCATTCTTTTCATATAAACCCAGTGCTCCATGCAGTACATGCCCTCCTTAATACCCATCACCGGGCTAACACATCCCTCCACCCCCTTCCCCTCTAAAACCCTCAGATTGTTTCTCAGAGTACCTAGTCTCGCATGGTTCCTCTCTCCCTCTGATGTCCCCCCCTTCATTTTTCCCTTCCTTCTCCTAATGTCCTCCATGTTATTCCTTATGTTCCACAAATAAGTGAAACCATATGATAATTAACTTTCTCCGCTTGACTTATTTCACTTAGCATAATCTCCTCCAGTCCCATCCATGTTGATGTAAAAGTTGGGTATTCATCCTTTCTGATGGCTAAGTAATATTCCATTGTATATTTGGACCACATCTTCTTTATCCGTTCACCTATTGGAGGGCATCTCAGCTCTTTCCACAGTTTGGCTATTGCAGACCTTGCTGCTATGAACATTGGGGTGCATATGGCCTTCTTTTCACTACATCTGTGTCTTTGGGGTAAATACCCAGGAGTGCAATGTCTGAGTCATAGGGTAGCTCTATTTTTAAATTTTTGAGGAACCTCCACACTGTTTTCCAAAGTGGCTGTACCAACTTGCATTCCCACCAACAGTGTAAGAGGGTCCCATTTTCTCCACAACCTCTCCAACATTTGTTGTTTCTTGCCTTGTCCATTTTTGCCATTCTAACTGGTATAAGGTTGTATCTCAATGTGGTTTTGATTTGAATTTCCCTGATGGCTAATGATGATGAACATCGTTTCATGTGTCTGTTAGCCATTTGTATGTCTTCTTCAGAGAAGTGTCTTTTCATGTATTCTGCCCATTCTTTGACTTGATTACTTGTTTCTTGGGTGTTGAGTTTGAGAAGTTCTTTATAGATCTTGTATACCAGCACTTTATCTGTAGTGTCCTTTGCAAAAATCTTCTCCCATTCTGTGGGTTGCCTCTTTGTTCTGTTGACTGTTTCCTTTGGTGTGCAGAAGTTTTTACTTGATGAAGTCCCAAAAGTTCATTTTTGCTTTTGTTTCCCTAGACTTTGGAAATGTATCTTGAAAGAAGTTTCTGTGGCCAATGCCAAGAGGTTACTGCCTATGTTCTCCTCTAGGATTTTGATGGATTTCTGTCTCACATTGAGGTCTTTCATCCATTTTGAGTTTATCTTTGTGTATGGTGTAAGAGAATGGTCGAGTTTCATTCTTCTGCATGTGGCTGTCCAATTTTCCCAGCACCATTTATTGAAGAGGCTGCCTTTTTTCCATTGCATATTTGTTCCTGCTTTGTTGAAGATTGTTTGACCATAGAGTTGAGGGTCCATATCTAGCCTCTCCATTCTGTTCCATTGGTCTTTATGTCTGTTTTTGTGCCAGTACCATGCTATCTTGGTGATCACTGCTTTGTAATATAGGTTGAAATCAGGCAACATGATGCCCCCAGCTTTGTTTTTCTTTTTCAGCATTTCCTTGGCGATTCGGGGTCTTTTCTGATTCCACACAAATTGTAGGATTGTTTGTTCCAGCCCTTTGAATAATGCCATTGCTATTTTGGTCAGGATGGCATCGAAGTTATAGATTGCTCTGGGTAGCATAGACATTTTAACAATGTTTGTTCTTCTGATCCATGAGTATAGAATGTTTTTCCATCTTTTTGTGTCTTCTTCAATTTCTTTCATGAGTGTTCTGTAGTTCCTAGAGGATATATCTTTCACCTCTTTGGTTAGGTTTATTCCGAGGTATCTTATGGTTTTTGGTGTATTGTAAATGGAATCGTTTCTCTAATTTCTCTTTCTACATTGCATTGTTAGTGCATAAGAAAGCAACTGATTTCTGTGCATTGATTTTGTATCCTGCCACATTACTGAATTGCTATATGAGTTCTAGTAATTTGGGGGTGGAGTCTTTTGGATTTTCCACATAAAATATCATGTAATCTGCAAAGAGAGAGAATTTGACTTTTCCTTTGTCAATTTGAATAATTTTATTTCTTTTTGTTGTCTGATTGCTGTTGCTAGGACTTCTAGTACTATGTTGGACTATAGTGCCAAGAGTGGGCATCCTTGTCATGTTCCTGATCTTAAGGGAAAGGCTCTCAGCCATTTCCCCATTGAGGATGATATTCACTGTGGGTTTTTCATAGATGGATTTTATGAACTTGAGGAATGTTCCCTCTATCCCTATACTCTGAAGAGTTTTAATCAGGAAAAGATGGTGTATTTTGTCAAATGCTTTTTCTACATCAGTTGAGAGAACCATATATTTCTTCTCCCTCCTCTTATTAATGTGTTCTATCACAATGATTGATTTGCAAATGTTAAATCACCCTTGCATCCTGGGGATAAATCCCACTTTGTCATGGTGGATGATCCTTTTAATGTATTGTTGGATCCTATTAGTTAGGATTTTCTTTTTTTTTTTCTTTTTTTGGGGGGAATCATTAACTTTATTTGTCACTCTTTATGGACATTGGTCCACTTCCACATGAAAAATAGGGAGCATCTACTTCTACTTAATATTCTAGAGAAAGACGTTGTACCACAAACCATTAATAGTAACTTACATATGGAGGAAAGTTACTAAAATAAAGATTTTATAGTCAAGCCCCAAGATGTCCCCCAAAAATTGGTTTTTGGGTGTATAATTACAGATATCTATAACTCCACAAAGCTAGTTTCTTTTTACATCAATGTAGTATTTTTAATATCCACCTTGTGGTCTGGATCACCAAAGTTTCAGAAGAGGTTAAAAAACAGCCACCCTCTGTCAATCAGATGCAGTTCTCAATCTCAGTCATTATGTAAGTACTCCCACAGTTTAGGGCTACTTGAAGTTAAATACCTTCTGTTTCAGAGATATTTACATCAAATTAAGACATTTACAAATGGTTCATGGTATAGAACAGCCCAAGTGTCATTTTCACCTGTCCTGTGTAAGGAAGTTAAGCACTCCTAAGTTTGTCTAATAAATTCAGTGCATTTTCCCCAATATAAATAACACAAGTTATTCTAAATGTTTTACATTTATTTCACTGCACATTTCCAAGTGTTAAATGGAATGAAATTATATTAAATGGTTATATCATATTTGAGCATATTATGGAATCTATAGCACACAAATCAATTCACATCAGTACTATAATTCATTCTAAAAGAACATCATAGGCACATGGAGAACAAAATTTGCTTTTTTCTTTTTTATAAATTTAAAGTATACCATCTACTTTTAAACTACACTGAAAGATTTAACAAAACAGCCAATTTCCAAACCCCTTTTCTAAGTTTGGCATGAGGAGAGTTCAATCCATTCGAATCTTCTGGTTTGTCATCCTATAAATAATGCTGTCATATCCAGGATCCATGTTCCAGATATTGTAAGAGGTGATAATCACAGCCAAGGCCAAGTTGATCATTATCCAAAGTACCATGTTGAAAACCACTGGATACTCAAGGTTATATTTATATGCGAGGTTATAGGGGCTTGATGGGTTCTTCACTTGTTTTGCCTCAAGAATAGTCCTTGTCTTCCTGACGAGAGATGTGTCAAATGATCGGACAGTCACTAACTCCACCACTGCATTCCCACCATAAAGGTTGTACATGTCATCTGCGAACTTTTGCAGAGCATAAACAAGGATCTTGGACGCATCTCTGAATTGTATAGAATCTTCCCCATAATGTTTCCCAATTTCATCCAAAACTGCCAGCTCCAGCAAATATAAATCAGGAGAATGATCCTTGGCTAGATGCTTATGTCGAGACAACAAACTTGAAATATCATGTAGCACTTGCAATTCAGAAAGATAGAGCAGATCAACTTCATTGTTCCTACTCAGAGAATTAAGGGGAAGTGAATTGAGAACAGTTTTCCTGGAACAGGCAATTGCGGAGCTGTCCTAATATTATGGAGAGATCTTCAAAAACTGAGTTCACCTTCCCCACCATATACACTCTCTCCTCACTGGGAGCCAACTGCAAAATTACAGGAGTTTCTTCAGAAAATAAGGAGTGAATGGAATTTGAACGCTGTCAAGACTAAAAGGAACTGCATTCTCCAAAGGGTACGAAATTACACTGCCTGGGGGTAGAGCGAGTTTGTCTACTCCCTTCACCAGCACCATAATGGTAGCCCTAGGACGATCGAACAGGTTACCCACCGCAAGTCCTGACCAAGAAAGGTCTTCTTTAACAGAGAAGCCCATGGACAATGCAGCCATGTCTAGGATTCGCTCTAATGGTAAAGACCAATTTCCATCTCGGAAAACAACAGACCCTGGTGATCTTAATATACTAAACTCGTTCCCCAAAACACCCGCCACCAACAAGGACAGGAGCACCACGAGTGCTGCCGTGGTCCCACGGTGGCCGCAACAGCAAAGGGCGGCATGGACCCGGACGACAGAACTTGAGCGACCACCACAGCGGTAGGGGGTGACATGCTCTGGCTTGTCCCGACCTAGCTAGAATTTTCTTGAGGATTTTGGAATCCATATTCATCAGGGATATTGCCCTGAAATTCTCCTTTTTGATGGGATCTTTTCCTGGTTTGGGGATTAAGGTAATTTTGGCCTCATAGAATGAGTCTGGAAGCTTTCCTTCTGTTTCTATTTTTTGAAACAGCTTCAGGAGAATAGGTATTATTTCTTCTTTGAATGTTTGGTAGAATTCCCCAGGGAATCCATTAGGCCCTGGACTCTTGTTTCTGGGGAGATTTTTGATCACTGCTTTGATCTCAATCCTGGTTATCGGCCTATTCATATGGTCAATTTCTTCCTGTTTCACTGTTAGGAGTTTATTGGTTTCCTGGAAGACATCCATTTCTTCCAGGTTCCTCAATTTATTTTCATAAGGTTGTTGATAATAATTTCTAATAATTGTTTCTATTTCCTTGGTGTTAGTCGTGATCTCTCCCCTTTCATAATTTTATTAATTTGGGTCCTTTCTCTTTTCTTTTGGATAAGTCTGGCCAGTGGTTTATTGATCTTACTAACTATTTCAAAGAACCAGCTTCTAGTTTCATTGATCTGCTCTACTGTGTTTCTGGTTTCCAATTAATTGATCTCTGCTCTAATCTTAATTATTTTTCTTCTAATGCATGGATTAGGCATCATTTGTTGCTTTTTCTCCAGTTCTTTAAGGTGTAAAGTTAGTTGGTGAATGTGGGATTTTTCTATTTTTTTGAGTGAGGATTGGATGGCTATATATTTCCTACATAGGACTGCCTTTGCAGTATCCCATAGGTTTTGGACCAATGTGTTTTCATTCTCATTGGTTTCAGTGAATTGTTTAAATTCTTCTTTGATTTCCTGGTTGACCCAAACATTCTTCAGCAGAGTGGTCTTTAGCTCCCAAGTGTTTGAATTTCTGCCAAATTTTTCTTGTGATTGAGTTCAGTTTTATTTATTTATTTATTTATTTTATTATGTTTGTTAGTCACCATACAATACATCATTAGTTTTTGATGTGGTGATCCACTATCCATTGTTTTCGTATAACACCCAGTGCTCCATGCAGTACGTGCCCTCCTTAATACCCATCACTGGGCTAAGCAATCCCCCCTCCCCCTCCCCTCTAAAACCCTGTTTGTCTCTCAGAGTCCATAGTCTCTCATGGTTCATCTCTCCTTCCAATTCCCCCTCCCCTCATTTTTCCCTTCCTTCTCCTAATGTCCTCCA